GGAGAAGGAGGAGGAGGAGAAGAAGGAGAAGTAGAAGAAGGAGAAAAAGAAGGAGAAGTAGATGAGAAGAAGGAGGAGGAGAAGTAGATGAGAAGAAGGAGGAGGAGGAGGAGAAGTAGATAAGAAGAAGGAGAAGTGGTTTTGGTCCCATAGACGGAGAAGAAGAAGTAGATGACAAGAAAGAGGAGAAGAAGAATCGAGCGGTTTTGGTCCCATAGACATGTTACATGGTTTTTGGGTGCTCCCACTTAAGCCCCCCGTTCACACTTGCAACATTGGGCGCCATGTTTATGCATGTTCTGCGCATCCATTTCAATAGGCTACCCTACAAACAAACAAGCTCATGCATCTTTTTGAGCTTTTCACGTTTGCTTGGCATGTATGGGGTGCCATTAACAATGAGCGGAACCTCAAGCGCGAAAAGCATTCTTGTGCATTTCATCAACTAGTGTGAATGCGTGGTAAAGGTCTATGGGCCAAAATCGGACAATTCTGGTCCCGTGCTACTAAAGTTGCGCTTAAAAACGTGTGCACAAAAGCCACTAAGTCACCTGCCTACACTCAGGCTTAGGTGGGAATGGCGTTTTCTTCTCTTTGCAGGGGAACCAAGCGGAGTATAAGAAATGTTGGCGGGAAGGGGGGGGGTGTAGGCATTTCAGAGAGCCATGGCAAAGCACAGGTACTCTTTCAGCCAGCACACTCTAAGCATGAAAACAACCAGTTTCAGTCAATATGGAATCCATTTTCCTCTGTAGCTCAAGCAAAAAGCCCCAAAGGTTCTACCAGAAATCCTTTCCGCTTTTGTACTTGCCTCCTCTTAGAGGTAGGCCCGCGCTGTACACCCAACGCGCCATATTGATCCTTTCCGTATTCAAGCGTGGCATTGAACAGCAAAAAAAAAAAGGAGAGAGAAACTCTACAGAGGCGCGTGCGATCCCAACACAGACGAGATGACTGAAAGCCACAGGCGTCTCCACAGCAACCGGAACCGCATCTAAAAATGTACAGAATAAACAGCGTGAGCTAATAGTCTAACCAGAAAAAAAAACCCCGACAGGACCCCCCAGAGGCACCTTCCTTTAGCACAGAACAGAATGTCGGGCTATTTTTACCTTCCATGCTTAAACCTAGTTCACAGCATCCGTCGCTGAAGCGATCATTAAATGAAAGAACAAAAGAGCACGCTGATCGGTGCCTGGAAGTATCGCCATGGCGACTTTTTTGACAAGTAAAGTTTTCCCAGAGGATTGTTTGAACTGGAACTCCACTGACATGGAGAGAAAAAAAAAAGTGAAATACTTTGCTAGGAGCTTAGCAAACTTTACTGTTTAACCTTACCCGCTTCTGTTCTGTAGGTATCCACAATCGCCATCCTAATGCGTCTTGCTGAAATCTATTAAAATGAATGCTAAGAGGTCCCCATTATATATTAAAGAGGAACTGTACCCATATCAATTAAATGACAACAAAGGCACATTTAGAATTGTTTAGCAATGACAATCTACAAACACATAATTCTAGATAATTGCCGGCTTTGTATGGTTTGCATAACTTAATTCTCTTTTCCTCCCCATTCTTCTCACAGTGGCCATTTTAACTAAGGGCAGGTTACTAGATCTCCCTTCACTTCCTGGAACTCTGACACATGTGAGTAGGACTTGTGACCATGCACATCGTCTCAGGGCACAGATTACATCAGTAAGTGGAAAAACAATAATTGTAATGAAAAATATGTTTGTTTAACTAATGAATGTCAGATGATTTCATATCCGCATGCAGAGCTACATGCTGAGGTGATTTTTAGTGAAAGGGGGTAAAGGACCGCTTTAAGAATTATCGCTATCCTTGATACCCTTGTTGTTTTTTTTTTAATGTAGCTATGACCAAAATGTTTTGGATAGAGCAAGGAAGGGTTAAATCCAGAGTCATTTTACCACTTAGGAAACTTCCCTTCACTTCCTGTGCCAGATACACAACAGGAAGATGGAGTGAGGCCTCGTTCACACCAGACACAGTGCGTTCCGGCCCGATTCTGGCCAGAACGCACCTCATCGCATTGCGGTCGGCTCACTATGTTGTGGGGCAGGAGGGGGCGTAGAGGTCCATTAAAGTGAATGGCACCGCAGCCACGCCTTCAAGCCGCAATGCGATCGGCCGCACGGTAACGCAAGGCACATTATGCCTGCGGCCCGGTCTGATCAAAATGCTGCAAGCACTATTTTGATCGGACCGCACCACACCACAGGCATAATGTGCCTTGCGTTCCCGTGCGGCCGATTGCATTGCGGCTTGAGGGCGTGGCTACAGTGCCATTCACTTCAATGGAGCGCCATGCCCCCTCCTGCCCCACAACATAGTGAGCTGGCCCCAATGCGATCCAGTGCGTTCTGACCAGAATCGGGCCGGAAAAGCACTACGTCTGGTGTGAACGAGGCCTAAATCTCCCAAGAAAGGGGAAAACCCCTTAGATAGTTGTCGCCATTGGAAGATTCGCCTCACCTGTGTTTCCCTTCACGTTCTCTCCCGGTGAAAGAACAAGGCCTCCTCTTAGAGGTGTAAACCCAATGTGCGATATTGATCCTTTCCGTATTCCAGCGTGGCTTTGAACAGCAAAAAGGAGAGAGAAACCATACAGAGGTGCGTGCGATCCCGACAAATAAAAGGGGTGAATCTCCCCTAATGGGTACACCAACAGCAGTAAAAACTTGACAGCAGGTCTCCACAATTGTCCATTGACACTTCCTCCTCCCATGATGCCTCTGGGAGTCATGCCTGTGGCTGTTAAAGTCATGCAATGCCTCATGGGACTTGTATTTCCACAACAGCTGGAGTTCCAAGGTTGCCTACCCCTGGTGTAACCAATGACTGGGCATGTGGTCGTGGTCTGAGCAAGGAAAGCTTGGGGACCAACTTTCAGCTACAGGCTGTCAATCAATGGCTCTGCCTGATCTCTGATCCACGCCTTCAACTAAGATTATGTATAAAGAACCTATTTATTCCAATAATGTACATTATGAGGACACTTGAGCACCAGAGTTCAGGTGTTTGCATGGAAGGGTTCTGTTAATGTTACAGCATACAGACATTTTAGACAATTGTGAGCTTCTGACCTTGTGGTAACAGTTTGAAGGACCTCTTCTATTCCAGCATGACTGTGCCCCCGTGTACAAAGCCAAACCCAATGAGGTTTGATGAGCTTGGTGTAGAGGAACTCAAGTGGCCTTCACAGAGCCCCGACCTCAACCCTACTGAACACCTTTGGGATGAATTGGAACCCCAGTTGCAAGCCGAGTCTTCTCACCCAACATTAGTACCTGACCTCACAAATGCCCTTTTGGCTGAATGGGCCCAAATTCCCACTGACACCCTCCAAAATCTTAAAGGTTTTCCAGAGAAGAGTGGAGGTCGTAGACTGTAGACACAAGAAGGTAGGAGGGGTCGGGCAACTCCATGGTAATGACAATGGTTTTGGAAGGGGACATCCAGCAGGCTCATACAGGTGTAGTGATAAGGTGTCTACAAGCGTTTTAGCCATACAATAAAATAAACATCTAATGCAGTTATCTCTTTATAATAGCTTTGTGTAGTTAGAAGCCTATTCACATTAAAATAGAGGAAGTCTAAAATGTATACTTCATCGTAGTAACCCCTTGATCCCTGAATAGAATTTACTGATCATTCCTTCATCTGCAACAAAAATCACTTTGGAGATGAAAGTATGGTCACAGCCAATCAGGATGGATTCAGTTCCATGGCCAAGCATTACACAGGGGGCTTAGTGTTGACCAGTCTGTTCTGTACGTTGAAGCCCCACTTCGGGGTTGCTGTAAAATGTACTCATGCAGTGGGCGGGTAAGATGCTCCCTTCCTCTAGGGCAGGGCAAACTCAGGCCCTTCAGCTTTGGTGAAACTAAAAAATCCCATCATGCATCTGCCTCTGAGAGTCATGCCTGTGGCTGTCAGGGTCTTGCAATGCCTAATGGGATTTGCAGTTGCACCACAGCTGGGGGACCCCTGGTCTAGGGTGTGATGAATAAGATGAATTGCTTTACTTATTTCTCGGTCCCGCAAGCTTCCTCTGCACCGAACAAGTGCTTTTCTGAAGCCTCTTCTTTCCGCCTCTGGACTAGTCACAGGCTCTATGATGCCATCATTTACCATGCAGGACCAGCAGACTTGCTGGTACATGAGGCCTCCGAAGGGCAACCCTGGGAGTGTCGGAGAAAGAAGTTCCGGTGTTCTATCGAAAGCTCCAACTCATCGAGCTCTCCAACTACCTCACTTCCGGTGCACAGAAAGACTGGAGCTCTGTACAGTTGCGCGCGTAGCGTTTGCAGAATACACGTCGAGTTTGCCACCTGCTGAATATTGTTAAAATGCAGCTGAACAGAAGCTCCGTCAGTCTTTGCGTTTTTGCAGTCTAATGTCGTCTGGTCGAAATCTCCAACTTGCAAGTACCCGGCAGTGAGGTAGTTGGAGCTTTCGACGAGTTGGAGCTTTCGATAGAACACCGGCTACCGGGGGAGAGCAGAATAAGGTAATATTAGGTAATGAGGTAAGATCAGAATAAGGTAATAAGCTTTATTAAAACCTAGATAAAATAAGCATTGTGAATTTCACTGCATGGGTATATCTTTCACCAGCTGGGCCTTTATGGCACCACACTTCAGTAGCAGAACAGGTTCACTTTCAAGCTCTGGCTTATGAAGGGCATCACAGAACATCTCTATCATACGAAGGACTAGGGGTCGGCAACTTCAACACTCCAGCTGTTGTGAAACTACAAGTCCCATGAAGCATTGCATAGCTTTGACAGTCAAAAGGTATGACTCCCAGAGGCCGAGACATGATAAGAGTTGTAGTTTCACCACACAGAGGAATGCAGAGGTTGCCTACCCCTGGACTAGAGTGACCATAGAGCATAAAAAGAGTGTGAGGACTCCTAGGACGAGACTACAGCTCTGTTTTAGGGTAAGTTAATAAACCGGACAGGAGAGTAAAGAACGCAAAAACAGGAACGCGTTTAATTGAAAACCAGGAACCAGAAGTAACAGGGAACATTTAAATATCAATGTTTCTTGAGTTGGCAGAGGAGCTTCTGACTGGATCCTAATGCAGCTGTATATCCGGTCTTCATGAAGGAGAAAAGGAACAGGACCAGCATCTTAGAGAACGGCCCACTCACTGGGAGTTTGATGTTCAGAGCACAGCAGACAGCATGTAGAGAGGGGAGATGGCAACAAGCACAGGAGAAGAGAAGAGGGAGGAGAGAGAACAAAGGGAAAAGAAATAAACTGAAATGAAGCAAAGGCTGATGGGGGGGGTCACACAAGCTGCCGAATGCGCTTTGTAACATTCATTCTGAGATGACGCTGTGGCTGTTCCCTGCCGTTTACATCTCAATCGAATTTTCGGCCTGCCCCCCCATGCCGCTGCTCTCAGGAAAACCTCCAGATGAAGACTCAGCATTGCACCACTACTCCTCCAATTCGGAGCGAAGGTGATCACGTCCAATAAACCGGTGAGAAAAACCATGCAGCTCCTGACAAGTTCTTAACGACAGCTTAGCCGAGGCAGCCTATGGGAAGGTGACGCAAGCGGGTGGAACGTGTCTCATGTCTGTGGGGGTATTGTCTGACCACCCCTCGTACGCTTCTTGCGACGTGTCGGTGGCCAGGAGTGCAAGGCAGTCGCGCTCACTCACATGTTGGTGCTGAGCCGGGATTGGCTGTTAGCTGGGGTCAGCTCTCCTTGGCTTCCTTCCCTGGGAGGGGACTGAAAAGATGAGCGATTATGAGTCTAATGAGAGACTGGTAAAGAGATGTATCAGCAGCAGATAAACAGTTAAAGTATATGGCTGGGCAAAATTAAATAAAAAAACAACATATTTAGTACATACATGTAATACATGCACATTTCTCCATGTTCAACCCCTCTAAAAATGCTACAAGTACAGAAAGATACATGTTGGTCTGTCAGAAATCTAGTGTGCTTTTAACTTCCAGCGCATGCTGCACTGAAATCCCAAGCAGTGTCATCAGCCCTGCCTAGTTTGTGGACTACAGAACTCCTCTTCCCTAAGTTATGAGGATAAGGAAGGGAGGAAGGGTTCTGTAGTCCAGCATGAAAAAAAAAAAAAGTAATGCAGGGCTGATCAAACTGCTCGGGATGTCAGTTACATACATAGTATTTGAGGTTGAATAAAGACATTAGTCCATCAAGTCCAACCTATTAGGATCTCATTCTAGGAGTACCTGTACCCCTGTATGTTACCTGTACCCCTGTATATTACGGTCCCTTAAGAAATCGTCCAAAAGTTTCTTGAACAATTCCACATTCTTTGCTGAAATCACCGCCTGTGGCAGTGAGTTCCAGACCCTAACTGATCTTACTGTGAAGAACCCTCTTCGCCCCTTGTGCTGGAATTTTTTTTCCACCAATTTTAGGTGATGGCCTCTAGTTTTTGTAATGGAGTTAATTTTAAACAGTTTATCGCTAATGTTGCTGCCACCATTGAACATTTTGTACATGGAGATCATATCCCCCCTTAATCTCCTCACCTCCAATGTGAACATGTTTACATTTAGTAGCCTTGTCTCGTAGCTCTGGTCCTCCATACCCCTAATTAGTTTGGTTGCCCTCCGCTGGACTTTTTCCAACTCAAGGACATCTTTTCTTAGTACTGGTGACCAGAACTGGACCGCGTACTCCAGATGAGGTCGAACCAATGATCTATAAAGTGGCAAAATTATAGACTTGTCCCTGCAATACATCCCCTTTTTAATACAGGACAAGACCCTGCTAGCTTTGTTTACAGCAGCCTGGCACTGCAAACTACCTTTCAGTTTGTGGTCTACAATGACCCCCAAATCCTTCTCCATTTCTGACTTCCCTAGCGGCATACCCATAATTGTATAACCCATTTGTTTATTTTTAATTCCAAAGTGCATCACTTTGCATTTATCGACATTAAACCTCATCTGCCACATTAATGCCCACTCCCCTATTTTATCCAGGTCCTCCTGTAATGTTATAGTGTCTAAGTCCGTGTCTATTACCCTCCCAATTTTGGTGTCATCCGCAAACACGGAAATATCGCTGTTAACACCCTCCCCGATGTCATTAATAAATAAGTTGAACAAACAGTGCAGCAGAGGAAGTGTTACTAGCTCACAACAGGAAGTTAGGATTGATTTTTGGCAGATTAACTTGTATTGTTCCTTACTTGAAGCACTTTTACGTCTCATTCATACAGGGAAGGTTGCCCCTTACAGTGTGAAGGGACATTTGTTGATGTGCCTGGAGCTGTGGGAAGGAGCGTGCGGGCAGCTCGGAGATGCAGGAGCTGTGCGCCCTCCCAGGCTGCTACCCCGCAGCTTCAACAGCCTCACACAGACGGCGTATTGGCTCGGACGCAGACATGATGAATCCGGGATCCAGGTCCGTACACCATTTGTGTGCAGCGGTTTCCACAGAAACACAATAATCCATCAGTGTTAACTTCTGCGGCTAAATATTTTAGGCTTTTCTTGTTGTTATTTTCATGTTTTTAGTGACGAAAATTAAACGAAGACAAATAGAGAAGCTAATGGAAACAAAAAATGTGGAAAATAACATTCTGGGAGTGACTATTGCATGTGGACTTTTGGTTGCACAACTGAATAATAACCTCCTGATCTACCCAGCGGGACACCAGACATGTCACCAGAAACCGTACAGAGATGTCAACGTCGGTGAGAAAGAGAAGAGAAGGCGTATGGATGCATTTTATATTTGATGCTAATGAGAACAAGACCCTTTGTAAACCACGTGGAGTGAGAATCGTAAGTCATAACGGGTTAATAGAGGTTTACTCCAGGAATACATAATGAGTTTGGAGATTCTAGAGAATTGCTTAAATAATGCATTACACTTTAACTAGGGATGCACGGATATCGGTTTTTCGGTATCGAGTATACATTGCTTTCGTTACTCGCCGATACCGGTGCTTCCAGCACGGAACCCGCTTCCCGGCAAATCAGCACAGAACCCGCTTCCCGGCCAATCAGCACGGAACCCGCTTCCCGGCCAATCAGCACGGAACCCGCTTCCAGGCCAATCAGCACGGAACCCGCTTCCCGGCCAATCAGCACGGAACCCGCTTCCAGGCCAATCAGCACGGAACCCGCTTCCAGGCCAATCAGCACGGAACCCGCTTCCAGGCCAATCAGCAGGGAACCCGCTTCCAGCCCAATCAGCATGGAACCCGCTTCCAGCCCAATCAGCAGGGAACCCGCTTCCAGGCCAATCAGCACGGAACCCGCTTCCAGGCCAATCAGCACGGACCCCGCTTTCAGGCCAATCAGCACGGAACCCGCTTCCTGGCCAATCAGCAAGTTGGGAGGCGGGTCATTACTCGCCGCCCAGTCTCCTGATCGTATGGGAACCTGGCTCCATGTTCCCCTACGGCACTTCCGATACCGGAACTTAGATTTAGTTGACTAAAATACGACAAACTAAAATGACATTTTAGTAAAAAAAAAAAAAAGACTACATTGAAATTCGCCATCAAAATGAACACTGTAATCGGTGAAGAGTGTCACGTCTACTTGCAGGAACCACAAATGCCCTGCACTTCAGCTCTGTTTTAGGTCAGTACAGGTTTACTCCTTGGCCTTTTCTATCCCTGTATTCTTTCATAAAGTTTGCCAGTTATCACGGCAATGTTAGGAGGTAAGGAGTGCCGGGTACAATTTATAAAGCTTCTCAGAAAACCAGTAAAAAACTTACACTAAATTCTTCTGCAATCTAACCTCCTTATAACCTGAGATACATCACATGTAAGCAATGAAATGAGGTGAAACTTAAAGGGTCAGTCCATCGAAAATAGATAGTTATAGCTTTTAGAATGTAAGCCCTCAGGGGCAGGGCCCTCCTTACCATCTTGTCTTGTGATTGTATTGTAAAGCGCTGCGCAAACTGTTGGCGGTATATAAAACCTGTATAATAATAATAGTAGCTGGAGCCTTGTGGGCCAGTTCAGCCCCTGGCTTCATATATATCTTTTAGACCCCAACAGCGTAAAAGTGTATTTTTGACTGTGTTCTTGTCCTGGGACTTTTGGGTGACCCCATCCACCTTTGTGTATCTCAGCTCCTCCTGTTACATTCTACAGAATATAAAATAAAAAAAATCAGCAGGTATAGTGGGAGCCCCAAATAATGGGCACAGTGGGTGTGCAGACCTGGGAACCCGGCACATCGGTCTCTCTAAAAGAGTCTCAGAGAGATATAGGAAAGTCAGGAAATCACCAGCACTCAGTAGTAAAGATAAATATGTCCCTTTTATTGGGCAGAAAGCATCACACACATCCAAATAAACCGACGTTTCTGGACCGCGCAGGGTCCCTTCCTCAAGGCAGAAAGATGTGAGGAGTGCGGAGGGTCTCTCCATCTACTTACATCAGAGAGATATAGTACACTGCCGGAGGGGGGGGTTAGTTTGCCAGTGTCTATTCAGTCCACACGGATGATGGCTGTGGGTCTTTTGGCTTACTCTGAAGTCTAGGGGGGGAATGTGTGGCCATCAGAGCTCCTTCCTCCCCGGAACTGGGGTTCTCCCACAAACTAGCACTCGGTGGTCAGCTTCGGCTGGCTAGGAGGTGGGGGAACCGCCCAGCTTCGGCCAGAGTGCTCTGCAGTTCCCTGCTCCATACCATTATGATACATCCCAGTGCACCATTTTTGTGTATGATTATTATACAGGATTTATATAGCGCCAGCAGTTTGCGCAGCGCTTTACAGTATAAGGAAGACATTACAATCACAATACAATTCAAGACAAGATGGTAAGGAGGGCCCTGCCCCTGAGGGCTTACAGTCTAAAAGGTGTATATTCACATGCACCTTTTTTGGGTTCACTCCGTTTTATTTTTGTGCACCTTTTGTGAACTTCAAAAAAATAAAACTTAAAACCCCTTTACGTTCCAAAACATATTAAAACCATAATGTACCGCAATCCGGAAACATTCACAAGGTAAGAGAAATAAACAACATGCACCCACCTTAACGTGGATCTGATTACGTAGAACAGCAGCTCGCAAGATCATCGCTTTGGCTCGCCTCTGAAACTCCCTGCCCATCTGTAATGATTTCTCAAATGTAGTGCTGCGCTGGTCAACATCTCGGGCATATAAGATCTGCAAGCAAACATGCGACACATTAAATTTCATTTCTTGGCTCCTAGCGGCTACCTCGGCCTCTCCCAGGAGTTCTTACCTTGCTGTGAGAATCGATGCGGGCGTTAATTAACCCTTCCAGAATCAGCTGCGTCAGCTCGTCCTCGAGGGCGGGGACGGTTGTGTTAAAGGAAATTGACATTTTGTACATGTCCGCAGACACGTAAGGGCTAAAGTACTGCAAAATACAAACGGGCATAGATGTCTAACGCTGGCAGATGCATGCTATAAACAAAAGGATCCATTTATAAAACAGTCATACACCTACAACATGGAAGCAGAGAACAAATACATTTAACTGCACCATTGCAGACTGCAGGGGCGTCCTGCGGTCGGGTGTCACCCAGAGTGGAGACCGGGTGACACCCCACCGTCATCGCGCATGCGCAACCATCTAATTGATGCCTGCCGGCGGCCATCTTGGTGGTGGACTCCGGCAGAGAGAGGAGGGGATGTTCACCTGGCAGGTCGTCGGGTCCCCTCCTCTCTCCTGACACTGTGGGGCTCTCGGTCCATGACCGAGTGCCCGACTTTTTAGAGGGAGTGACACCAGAATGACTGCCAGTAATTTTAGTGTCACGCCTTCAATGGCGTCACCTGGGTGCGGGCTGCACCCCATTGTGACACCACTGCTAACTGTCCTCCCAGCCAGACGCTTGGCTGTGCCTGCTATCAGCACTTCTGGCCTAGAACAAGCTTTTAGCTAGATCACAGACCTAGAACAAGCATGCAGCTGATAAAAATCAGAGAAGGTCAGGAACATTAAAGCACTAGCATCAGAATGAGAGCCAGGCAGAAAGCATTTTCTATATTGCCCAGCAGTGACCTAATGCTTCTTTTCTTCCCTCATGACTGGGCTGCTTTAAAGTAGAACAGCTAAATTCACAGATGAAATACATAAGGGAGCTGCATTACCGGCCAAAAGATTTGTATTTCTGTCCATCCCAGTCTTAAAGGAGAACTATGGGGTCAGTGTTTTTCCCCATAGTTCTCCTTGGGGTAACGGGAGGACACAAACTAGCGTCCTCCCGTCACCCTAAGCTCAGTATACCGCGAGCTACAGCTCGCGGTATACTGAGACGCCGCACCTGGAGCGGATCCCGACTTAGATGACGGGATCCGCCCAGCTGCGTGAGTGACAGCTGGCTCTGCCTATCTAGAGGCAGAGCCAGCTGTACCCGCCCCCTCCCCCGTCCGTTCCGCCAGTCAGCGCTGGCAGATCGGAGCGGGGAGAGGGGAATCCAGCCCCTCCCCTGTCACGGCAGAGAGCCGTGACAGGATCGAGAGGTGAGGGAACCCGGTATGTTTTCCCTCACCTCCCGATCTACTGAGCCGACCTGTGACAGTCTCATTGTCACAGGTCGGCTTAGAACTATGACGTGAGTGGAAATCACTCATGTCATAGTTCTCCTTTAAGAGTTACACTGCTCTGCTACACAACACAGCCCAGTACGGCGGGGCAGGAGACTTGATCTTTCTCCCCTGCAGTTAAGTAACACTTACAGGTCTTGTCCCTCCCCCAGCTTGTGATTGGACGTGAAAGGAGAAGCAGCAGACTGATGAGCTGCATTTTCTTTATTTCACCTGGTAATAAAAAACATGCTTCCTGTCCTAGGGTGCCTACAATCACTCCAGTGTATCTATGGAAGGGAGCCCTGGTTGTGGCTAGGCTGCCTTCCAAATTTGGCCTACCAACCCGTCCTTCATGCGTCATCTCTATTTCATAGGGCGGTGTTAACAGATGGTAGCTGGAAACACTGGTATGATTGTTTGAAATATCACTGTAGTGCACAGGAAGTTACAAGGACACCGGAATATTGATAAGATAAACACCATTTTCTGGGGCTTGTAGAAAATGTACCTGGCCTGAAACAAGAAAACAAATGCAGCCGCCACATCTACATAAGCTGCAATATATTACGTTTTTTAGTTTAGTTATCCCGATCTAGGCTGGAGCCAGATAATGAACAAGATTCAGGTTTTTTTCCCCCGTTATAAAGACCCAGAGAGACTTCCTCAACTGGTTTACATTGCTTCCACGTCACAGTGGACTGACAGTTTGAGCGAACGACCTCAGACGCGTTTGTCTTTATCCAAGATGCTTTCTTAGCTGTGTCAGCTCTCCCCTCTGAAGGTGAAAACCGGTGATTATATGATGATCTGCAGACCACAAAATCACTCAGATACCAACCAGCCAGCGTGAACCCGATTTACGCAGTTCCAGTTCTAACCTGCTAATGTCATTGTGCTCATGTGGTCAGATGGAAAGCATTCAGTGGGCAATACTCTGTGACATCAAACTGACATAAGCTGCCTGCTCCCTACTGTTCAATGTATGCAGTAGAATAAGACACACCGGCCTCCCACCCCAGTTGTGTCTGCAGAAATTACAGTATTTATGTCACTTTCCTGGATTCGGAATTGAATTGACTGTGCGGTGAAAAATTGACATCCAAGTATGATTCAAAAAGCTATTTCACTGTAGAAAGCTATTTCACTTTGCAATAGAATTGCGGGTTGGGAAAATGGCTTAATGGAGAGATGCATGAGTTTATCATTTCATGGAGTTGTAAAGTCCCAGCATATCCTCTCCTGTTATAACATCAGCATTGTAATAGGAATACATAGTAGAGTTGTGTCTGATAATACAATCAAAGTGCTGCCTTCTGTCTGCACATCACTTCCAACAACTTCCTGGATTCCCAGTCTGCTTTGCGTCTCTTTCCCTGCTGCTTGATGTGATGCAATCTCCATTTCCCAAGACTACATAGCCCATCATGCATTACTTCCAGCAAGCAATGATAATGTTACATTGTCACAATAAAAGAACTGCTTAAAAGATGGGCTGATAGAAGGCTAGCTCGATTAATATTTATCAGGTTTCTAGAATCAACCTCCTTGGCTTCCCCTCCACGATCTAAAAAGCTTTTTTTTTTGGGAAGGGGGGCAGAAACTGTTTACATTTTATTTTTTGCCCACACCCCCAAGCTGATATTCTTGCCTAGGCAAGAATGACGTGTCCCTGCTCTCTACATCACTTATCTCAGAAAGCTGCTGGAGGTCAGACCCAGAGTCAATTCATTGGGGGCTGGCTGCCCCTGGAAGAGACAGCTAGCTCCTGATGACCGAGTGGAGGAAGATGGCGGCGCAGGATCTGGCCTGTGTCAGTAGAACAGTGGCTCTCAGCAGGACAACGCTGGGTTTGCTAGGTGGGTGACTATGTTTTTTCAAGAGAGCCCAGTATCACAAGTAAGAGGGAATGACAATAAAAGAAGGGGGATTCTTCATTAAAGGGCAAGTTCACTTTCGCAGAAAATGTGAAAAAAAAAATCAACTTACCTACAGCACCCCACCACCACCTGCAGCCCCCACTGCACCTACACATCTGAAACCCTTGCTAGCTGTTGAAGCGGTCCGTACATTGGACTTCCCAGCCACGCACTATGGAATACTCATGCTGAGCACTCATTGGTCAGCACAGTCCCATGACCAGAAGTGCTTCTGAGCAGTGGGACCTGGTCCTGGAAGTAAGAAGTGCTTCTCAATGGTCAGCTTGGTCATGTGACTGTGCTGAACAATAATATATAGGTGTCTTGCTGCACTCCTTACCTGTATAGGATGTTCCTTCAAATCCTGGTGGGTGCTTGTAGTGACCACGGATGGCGCCGTGAAGATATACAAGTTTGAAAAAGGATGTCAACAGCACACCATTTAAGTGAGATCAACAAAAGTCCATTTATTAATGGAGTACTGTCATTCCAGTACAAGCGCTTTCTGGGCCGCACAGCGTTCCCTTCATCAGGCTCAGAATGACCAATAAGTGCTCACCATTTAAAGGCATTATGAGCATTCCATAGAACAGGGCTGAGATGTCCGGTGTACGTACCGCTACCCCAGCTGGTGGGGACTTCACACAGGTAGGTACAGTGTGAACCAGGAAAGGTGGTGGGGTGTGGTGGGTAGGTGCATTTTTCAACAATTTGTGATGAAGCGAACTTACCCTTTAACAAGGGAGGCTGGTAAAGCCCTGAAAAAAAAATAAGTCTGAAGGTCGATGGGCCAAATATAGAAATACATTTCCAGTGTTCCAGTTACCTGAATAGTGTATTGTAATTACCTTGGTTTTAATGTAACTTTATTGTACTGTTGTGTGCAGTGATTATGCAGATTTGATATAAATAAAGGAAAAATAAGATTAAAAAAGCTGCCCAGAGTGATAGACGCACAGCAGAGCACGTAAGTAGATAACAAAGACGACATAAAGGCACAGGCTGGCAGCGCAGGATGAGAAAGGCTTAGTCACAGCGGGTGGTGAGAAGGACACAACATGGTGCAACTAACACAGCGGAAACAAGAGCGGAGCCAGCAGTAAGCATCACAAGAGCAAACAACTGACTAAACCATAGAGCGGCAATGGATACCTGTATAAGAGCTCGGTTTCTGATTTGAGCATAAAGGGTTCGGACGTGGGGAGCCAAGTACATGTCCAGAAGAAGATTATCCTGCGGGGGCAGAAAATATAATTATAAACCATATGAGGAAAGAAGGCATTAAGACAAAAACTCATGTTGGTTTGCTGACATTATTTACATTAAAGCAGAACTCCGAGTACAATCATTTCAATACCTGCCATGTGTAAATTCAATGATTCTTTTATCCTTTCAGCTTAAAGAGAACCTGTCACCAGACCATTCATTTCAACGCAAATCTTCCCATAGGATTATATGTGCATTTAACATATTTCAGGCATGTAAATTTACTAGGGATGCACTGATACCAAGTACCGTACTCGGTACAAGTACATGTACAGATACTTTTCAGCTCCAAGACTAGACTAGAGAAAAATTCAAAAGTTAGGAGGCAGCTGTCATGTGTAAGGAGCCCACGGAGCTCCTGGGATTTGTACATCTCTGTTTTAATGTATGATTTTGTTTTTATAAATATATATTATCGATCCACCGATACCATTTTTGCAAATACAAGTACCGATACATTTTTGTTTATTGTCATGTGACAGTTTTTCTAAAACAATAATCGACTAATGATTTCAGGACAGTGGTGGAGCGCCAGAGCCCGGTCCCAGCTGCAACCCTGGTAGTTCTCATGAAAATGCCAAGTATCGGCACTGGTATCTGTGCATCCCTATAATTTACCTGTAAAAGCCTCCTATGTGTAAACATCCAAAAGCTCTGAGACTGCTGATGGGTGTTGCCATCTTGGATGTGATGTCAGCAGCTGTTCAGAGACTTCAGCTATCTTGATTGGCCGACCCGGCATGATGCAACTCCCGTGCATGTGTGTGGAAGTTAATCATCCCGGCACCTGCGGATCCCTGGATGGTATATGAGCTGCTCGGTGTACATTTGGAAAAAACACTGCCGGCAGTGACAGATAAGACGCTTTCATCCAAAAAAGACATGCAGTCTCCTCTTAAATAAAAGCCTACAGACTAGTAAAGTTTATAAAATAGTTTATTTCCACTGTAAAATAAACTTATGTAACCCTGTGCATTGCAGCACCCTGAAGCACTAGCAGAGAGAAAGGCGTACCAAAAGCCAAGCAGATACTACTGCACTACATACTGCATAGTGCTGGTGTATCTAAAGCCGGGACTTCCTAATGCATTGATATCATTCATCAGTGTGCTGTTGCTCCGTCCAATCCTGGGCTGGGGTGGGTCTGTGACCAGGTTGCAGACAGGTCAAAAGCAGTAATTGATAGGTGCATGGATCACGAGATTGGTTGAGCAGAACTATGATTACTTTGGCAAGCAAAAGTGCATGTTTGTATATGGATTTCTACGATACATCTGGATGTTTTCAGCTATAACAGAGGCAAACGATGGTGTCATTTTATGGGGTAGAATAAACAAATATTGGGGAGTTCAGCACTTAGTGTGACACTACTATTAAGCAACTGCAGAAGAAAAATAAAGTTGTAAAATTTGTGAAAAACCTAACAGGGAGAGTGAGACCCTCCTGATAATGACCACAACAGGGGGGGCAAGCTGGAAGGGAGAGCTTGGCAGCAAGCCCCTGATACATATAAAAACTAGTGGGTCATTCAACCATCAACATCTAGCCTATATAGTATGTACAGGTGAAACTCGAATAATTAGAATATCGTGCAAAAGTAATTGCAGTAAGTGCTGCAAAAGGGGCCCAAACCAAGTACTGAGTACATATGCATGCTTGTACTTTTCAGAGGTCCGATATTGTTCTATGTACAATCCTTGTTTTATTGATTGCATGTAATATTCTCATTTTCTGAGATTGTGGATTTGGGGTTCTTGGGGTTTTCATGAGCTGTAAGCCATAATCATCACAATTATGACAAATCACGGCTTGAATTATCTTGCTTTGCATGTAATGAGTCTATCTCATATATTAGTTTCACCTTTTAAGTTGCATTAGTGAAATAAATGAACTTTGCACGATATTCTAATTATTCGAGTTTCACCTGTATAAGGGCCTTTGTTGATGGGTATTGGGCTTGTGTTCATGGGGTCAGTATGAGATGAGTTCTGTGTTCATGGGGTCAGTATGAAATGAGTTTAAGATGCTTCTGTGTTCATTCAGAATTCAATGACAGGTGCAGTTGGCTTCCTTCTGACCTGCATTTCACAATCAGGCAACTCCTTTGAACAGATGAGCCTATGTTTGGAGTGAATTCAGTCAGAGTTTGCCCAAACTGTGACCGCCAAACCCCCTTCCTAGTTCAATCAGTGGTGGCATTTTAATGTAAAGCAAAGCCTGGCCTCATCACTACACCTTTCCTTTAGACTTGCATATGAATGAAAAGTCCACAGCCCCTACGTCTAATCATCTTGCACTTTGATAATTCTCCTGTCTAGCACTGAGTGTCTCCACAAAGTCAAATTATGCCTCCATAAAACTAAGCGACCACAAGCAGAACTGCAGACAAGGACAAACTCAGGATAACCATCAGCACATACAAGCCTTGTCTCTGGGGGCTGGAACCTACATAATTACCTTCATCTCGTCCAACATCTTTAGACAGGAGGCGTACTTTGACTCGTAGAACTTGAAGATGATATCGCGGACTTGAGGCTCCAACTCCAGAAACAGCTTGAAAGAACTGAAGGAGATAAAATGGAACAGTTTGATAGCCATACAAAGAGACTGTCCACCCACATTCAGCCTCGACCAAAAACGCATTAGACGCTAGTATGGGGGTAAGGAGTTCTTATCAGACCTTTCCAGCTGGAGCAAGATATCCTACAAAATAAGAGTGCTGTAAAGTAAAAGGTGTATTAGAGACTGCTCGGAGGCTGTACTGATCAGCCTCTATAAAAGTGTCACCCTCAAGCATGCTGCTGATTTGCTCCAGGCCTTCAGCTGCTAGATTTGGCAGTTGTACCGAGACCATAAACCATGGGTTCCAACACAATGTAAATCTGGAAGGTCACAAATAATTATTTGCAGCACATCCTAACCTAGATAGAATGTCTGTAATGAAGGATGGCCATTCATTCCCTTGCCTGGTTCTGCTCACTGGAAAAGCTCCATAAAGCAGTTAGCTTTCAGCTCCCCAAATAACAATATGTTCCGTTAGACTTACCGGTAACGGTATTTCTAGGAATCTTCCAGGACAGCAACACTTGTTATTCTTTTCCTACACTATTTTGCAGGCTGTGTGCGCACAGTGTTAAGGTGCCCACACACCTTGCGATAAATCGTACGATAATCGCGGGAAATCCCGCGATCGTACGATTATCGTAAGGTGTGTGGAAGCCGTGCGACCTCTACTACTGTAAGGTCGCACGACTTTTATCTTAGGAACATGTTCGAAAACCCGACGAGCATCGTACGATGTTCGGCGGGTGTATAGCATGTTCGTAAGATAAAAGCTGGACGGGCCGCTGTGCACAAGCGCACACTGCCCGTTTGGCATTGCGGTCATCGCAAGTACGATCTGCCTGTCCAAGATAGGCAGATCGTACATTTTTTTTAATTACCTTACAACCATCGCAAGACAAAAGTCTTGCGATGGTTGTGAGGTGTGTGCCCAGCCTCAGGGTAGGGCACAAGGTTTAAAGCTGAACTCCAGCTTCCCTTCAGTCTTGCGCAGTTGTACCGGCTCCTCTCCGGACTGAAATTGCGTCCTCTGATTTCACTGCACACTGGGAGCTTCTCACAATATGCATTTGAATCTGCAGCAAGTCTAATAGAGGCTACCATATTTCCTGGCTGGAAGACATCCAGGATGATCTAGCCCTTACCTCCCTAGCTTGACAGTCCCTGGCCTGCACCCTTCATTCATTGGATTTCAGTTCTTTCAATGATGGAGGCTTTGCATCAGATTAAGGCTTTACCTCGGGCGGTCTGCATACAAATGCAGTATGCCCACGAATGCCCACTCCTTTAGACTGATATCCACCGATCAATGCATTTTTATATTTGCACAACACCTCCCAAGAGCCAGCCCACTTCTTGCATAATAGTTAAGGACACATGAGGGGTACTGAAGTAGGGTGCTGTAATGTTTTCTAAGAAGCTATGTACAGCACCCTGCTGGCCCCTCCCACCAGCTAAATGATCTATTAATGAATACAAGCCGCATTAATTTGTGTCTTTCATATTCGTCTAGAGTTTAGCTTTTATATCGACACTTTAATATATGAGCCTGTGTGTGAGTGACAGAGGAGCATGGTAACACCTCCTGCATTACAAACAGGTGACCAAAATTGTTAGCCATATCACATAAAAAAAACGAATGGCAGTGTTGCCTGAAAAAAATGGAGTACCGAGCAGGTAGGCTGGGCTCTCTCCATGCATTTAAATAGTTCACCTGAAGTTAAGTGTCGAATCAGTTTTTATTAGCATTTTTTAAACAGGTTTCATAATATACAGCATCGAAACTCAAGAAGGATGTAAAAAGCAAAACACAAGACATCAGGAGGCATGAGCACATTAAAGTGAACATTGGCGGTCTGGTGTAGACATTCAAGGGCCGGTGTCTAGGACGACCTATATTTGGTTACACCTTATGTAAAGCTAAGGCATTTCTGGGTTATGCATATTGCAATGTAGAAAGGATCCTCACCGCTATGACCATATCCACAGTATAATGTTGGTGGGATTTGAGATTACGTGTCTAGATATTGTAGCCCTTGTCTACATTGCTTAATACCTTCTCTGAACAAACACTTTAAACATCCTGATATGTTAGGAAAGTTGTAGAAAGGGAAGGCAACAGAGAGAGGAGAACAAATAAAGGAGGGAAATAAGGAGAAAAGAGAGAGGGGGGAAGGGAGGAGATGGGGGGGGGGTCACGATTCATGAGTTGAGGTTGTGTATCGTGATTTGAGGGGTCCCATTCACCGCCTTCACCTGAAGTTTAGATGGGAGTATAACTTCGAGTCTGTTGGTGATGGTAAGTTGTTAGGAATAAGATTAGGAATCAGGGTGTAGCTGACAGACCCCTGATTGTAACTGACTGGAGGGTGACACCAGAATAAGGCAAACAGCCAAACCATTTCAAAACCCATGACAGAGAAGAGCTATAACTGACCTGCTTGAGATGACGTTTTTCTGAAGCTCTTGCCGATCAAAAGTGGCCAGCGCACAAAGTCCCCCATATACAGCGACATTATTGGAGGAAAGCAGCTGTGGATAGAAAGAAGAATGTGTGATCACAACAAGGAGGATTCCACTGTCGAGTACACTGGTCAGGCTGATCAGGATAGAAACGTACCTCTGGAAAGTCACAGTGGTCAAATGATGCCAGCAAGAAGCATTTCGCTGCCTGTTTGTATTTCCTTGCAGCTAATTCTGCCAGACCTGAAACCAGAAATAGCATGAAATGGAATGTAGAATATTTGCACTGTTTCATTAAGCACACATGCAAATAAAAGAGAACACTGTGGTAGTGTGCTCTACCACAGCATGGTCTCGCTTTACTGCTCGTTCTCACAAATGTAATTCTTGAAGCCTGCTGCTTCAGTAAAACAATGCACTTTATGAAGGACTACTTCATCTCAAAGACCCTGTCATCTGACCTTTCGGGGCAAAGTGATAGGGCCTCCTGATACCCCCCTACCTCGCAGCAAGGTATAGACACTGATCCAGACTACCTCGTCACCTGCTGCAGAAGTCCACCTCCGGTAACCTCCCGTGGTCAATGGTAAAAGAGCTTACCCAGGTGGATGATGGCACTGCCCCCACCCCTCTAATAGTGTTTGGTCCTGAAAATTGGTGCACGGTCACATGGGGTGGTCACACACTTCCGCATACCCGGAAGCCACTCTCCTTTGAAGTGAGGACTACGACGGAGGAAGCATTGGATCAGAAATGGGCAAGTATACCTTTCCGGGTGCACGAAAGGGACAATCATGTAAACTGAACCACAGGTAATCGTTCCGTGAATAATTACATGCGGACTGCCGCTGATAGATGCGGGCGCTGTAAGCCTGTCACTAACTTGAACAGGTACAGCGGCCACATCTGTACAGACACACCGTGGATTCCTGGGACACAACTAGGAATCAACAGCTGACCCATGTAAATGTAGCCTAATAGTGAAACGGTCATTCGGCAAGCTCACTGGATTTGGCTAGTGGATTGGGCTCACATGGAAACGGTGCTACCCTCCAATGGGTACCCAGGAACCTCACTTGGTTACTGCTTTGAGTGTGTGTTATACAGGGACAGCAGAAATTGGAATCACTAACCTGCCGCACACTTTAGCTTCGTAAGCACTGACAGAGTCTGGCTATCTCTCTCTCCTCGTTGCTGGAAAAAAAAATGTTTAGATTGTATTGTAACAACAGTGCTGACATATTCTGCTCATATCAGTCCCTGCCCCAATGGAGTTTACAGTATAACAGTGAGCGCATACACAGCATGGCCAAGGCCAACTATCTTATCAGAGTGATTTCAGGAGGAAACAAACTCTTCAGATGAGGCCTAAAAAACTCAGAGACTAAAACGACTTTTCATAGTGTCACCGGTAGGAACATACCTGAGGATTCCACAGCTGCCAAAACAGAAGATTGTTGCTGTAGATTTAATGTGTATGTATAGCCAAACTAGTATGTATAAAATGTAGCTGCTTACTTAGAATTTTAAGATATTTAAATAGATAGTACGGCTTGGATTTACAGTATATTTGCTTCAGCAAGCACTGTGTATCTTTTCTGGTTCATTAAAGTGCAACTGAAACTTTTTTTTTTCTTCTTAGTTTTGGATAGGCTGGAGAGGGAACCCCTGTCAGGTTTATATTGCTGTCTGGAGATTCCCCCACTCTGGTTTATCGTTATCACAGAAAGTGAAAGAAAATCCACAATTTTGGGTTATCATTAGAACAGGAATAGATGGGAATCCTTCCAATGGAAGGCTCACCCCCCCTTCATCCAGAGAGCACCTAGTATTCACTGCGAAAAGTACTAGGCGCCTATACTCATTATACTAAGTGAGAGACTTTCTGTGTTTTAATAGCACAGTGAAGTGGTTGCATTGCTCCTACGCTCCCATAGAAGGAAGCGTGACATAAGCACGTCACTGTTCTTTTCAGTAAACTATGTAGTGGAGGTGTTGCGACTGGAAGCCATTTCTCCATTGGGGAGAAAACAATAGAGCCCAGCATCATAAACCAAGGGGTAGGTTAGGGGGGAAAAAATGAAAACATGCATTTTAAAAACAAAAGAGAAGTCTTTTTTGACACGGTAAGGAAGTATCTTTATAATGATTACAATGCTCCCGGCTAGAGATCAGCTTTAAGCCTTTAATTATACTTTCCGAAGAGAAGAAAAACAATTGCTGCAATGCATGTTGGGTAGCTCACCTCTGCAATTTCAGGCGTTGATTCTGCTTTACTGACATAGCTGAGAACGTGAGACCAGTTCTGGAGGTAGACACTGACCTACAGCAAGATAAAGCACATAAGATCAGAGCTCCGAATAGCTGACCCCTCCTTTTAGCAGAGTTCACATGACCGAAAGCCTAGACATTGGGACAATTGCCCAGATACAGTGTGATCCCTGAGCAGCAGTTTCCTGAGGCAGGTTAAGTATCTCAGAGCTTCTTTTAGCATCTTTCAATTTAAAGGAGAACTATGAGGTGAGTGAAAATCACTCATCCTCATAGTTAGAGCCGACGTGTGACATTGAAACTGTTACACGTCGGCTCTATTGATCGGGAAGTGAGCAAACGCATACCGTCGCTCGCTCACTTCCCAATCATCTCCCTGCAGAGAGCGGTGACTGTCAGTCACCACTCCCCACAGGGATTCTCCCCTTCCCTTTCCTCCAGCGCTGACTGGAGGAATGGACAGGGGAGGGGGTGGGCACAGCTGGCTCTGCCTCTAGATAGGCAGAACCTGCTGTCAATCAGCCAGCTGGGTGGATCTTGACAGTATTGTCAGGATCCATCTGGGCTTCGGCACTCTCAGGATATATCGGGCAATAGCCCCCGATATACTGAGCTTTGGGTCACGGGAGGACAATAGTATATGTCCTCCCGTGACCCTTAAGAAGCTCTGGAATAAAAAGTTTATAATTAAGGCTGCAGGGTGGATAGGAGTGGTGGAGTGTTATTACAGTTTAGGTCTACTTTACATAACTTTACTGCCAAAAGACAAAGCATAGTGGCACAAAACACAGCAAGAGATCAATGTTTTACCTTGATAACATTCAAACACATGTTGATGACGTGTTTAGCGCTAGTGCAGTAGTCCCGGGCTCGAGAGTAGCATTTTAGAGCATTGCTAAGATCTCCACAGTCCAGATAATGATCTCCCAAATCATCATGACCCCTCCTGTAAGAAAATGATTACTGTGATGACAGAAAAGTGATTGAGCAGCATAAAACATAATCTCTATATGTCTATTATTACGAAGTTCCACGAGAAACTCCACTTTGTGGCTGCACACTTCTCCATCAGACCGCCAAAGTCCCTCTAGAAGGCAGCTGTAACCCCTGCTAGCTGGGAAAAGCTCAGCTGGAGCCGTCACAAAAGGAGGATGGTTGCCCTCTTAAAAGAGAGAAACATCAGGGCCAATTCACCCCTAAGGGTAGGACAGGATGGGGGCTGCCCTAGGGATCTTACCCAGGTATCTCCAAGACCGCTGGCCCCAAAGGAAGGAGATACCAGAGAGGGACGTATACTGGGGTTAAACCTACCATGAGCTTTCTCCTTACCTTATACTTTCTTTAATGGAATTCCCTTTGTAATTCTTCAGGTCTGTATCCAGTTTCTCTAATTTCAGAAGTGCTTTTTTGCGAGTGGCCTCCACCCAGGCTGTGTCCAGAGGAGGAGGGTCCAGGGAGCCCTCAGGCAAAGCATCGGGTGCATTCTGTACTTCTCTGCAGAGATATAGATACAAAAGCTTGAGAGGAGGATTCAGAGTATTGAGAAAGAGGACAGAGAATGATTTTAAAAAAAACGAAAAACCCAGAGGGGGCAGACATGGAAGGAAAGAAAAAGCTTATGTGAGGAACTGGCTAGTTGACCTTTGCTGTGGCACAACTACAAACAGTATAATGCATTTAAGGGATTACGGTCCGATCCCAGGAAAAAAGAGAGAATTTGCATCTGCTCATGCAGGGCAAAGAGACAGAACATTGTCCTAGCAAGATATACCCGCCCATCTTCCTTTCCTCACATCATGGGAAAGTATGTCACCTCCCTCATGTAACAGTGCTCAGGCATGCGTGGCCAATCACCTGTCTCGAACAGAGTCATGAAGGGGTAGGAGCAACACCTGGATAAGCTCAGACAATTGGAGCTTACTCAGGGTGGACTCCTGCAGTGGGAGTCAGCAATGGAAAGACATGAATTGAAATACTCCCCTTTGCCTCTCTCCTGCAGACTGCCTCTTCTGTGTGCGCCCGGTCCGTCCCCCAAAGCCGCTTAATTTTGCTGCCTGGGGCCAGTTGCAACTCTCTGACACCATCACTCACAATGCATTGTATTGTATAGGAGGACAGTGAGGGCCGGCCCCCAACCAGGGAGAGAAGGACAATGGAGGAAAATGCCAGCTGCTAGGGGAGTGAGGAACAGGGTAAGTTATTATTCCTTTCCCCCTTAGCCAAAGCAGAAATTAGCCCATATATTGGGGGGGGGGCAGGGACCCTGCTGCATGGGTGAACTTAACAACAGCTCAGGGTTGGCTTTAGGAAGCCCAGGAGAAGTTCAGAGAATAAAAGGAAGAGAACAAAAAAAGACAAAACATGATGTATGTATTCTTTATTTAACCTCCCATACCTGACGGCCTCTGACAATTTGCGATGAATCTCTTCGTAAACGTCTACATTGAAAGTCCGCTGCACGAAAGACAGGGCCATCTTCAGGGCCTCAACACGCAGCTGAGGACACCGGTCAGCAATAAACTGCAACCTCTCGATGCGCATGAGACCGCTGTAACTGGTGGCGTACTGCTCAAGATCCTGCAGGAACAAAAAAACACACTGAATAAAAATCCCAACAGCATTGTCAGCCCGGCCTGCGGGACTACAGAACTCCTTGTAACCTTCTCCCACACATCACAGTCTCTATTCACATACATTCACAATGCTGTCCTCCAGAAAACAATATTGCTGCCTTGACTCCCAAGAGCCCTCCCACACAGTGTGCAAGTAAAGAGCTCTTGGGAGATGTAATTCTGGGGGTGTGCTTACATCACCAAAACCTGGGTTACCAGCAGCTTTCAGTAGAGGTGCACCGAAGTGCAAATTTCAAAACAGAAATGTAAAAAAATGTCAGGCTGAAACTGAAAATGTTTGTTAACTTTTTCAAAATTGTTAAAATATTTTATTTTTATTAACTTTTTTAATTTTATTTATTTATTCATTTTTATTAAATATTTTAATTTTTTACTTTACTTTTAGGGGCTTCTGGAAAATATTAGGGGTCTAAACAGACCCCTGATATTTCCCTTTTAAAAAAGGGACTTAGACAGTATAACATTACAGGAGGACCTGGATAAAATAGGGGAGTGGCCAAATATAAAATAATAAAAATAAGATGAGGTTTAATGTCGATAAATGCAAAGTAATGCACTTTAGAATTAAAAATAAACAAATGGGTTATACAATTATGGTTATGCCGCTGGGGAAGTCAGAAATGGAGAAGGATTTAGGGGTCATTGTAGACCACAAACTGAATGGTAGCGCCAGGTTGCTGTAAACAAAGCAAGTAGGGTCCTGTCCTGCATTAAAAAGGGGATGTATTGCAGAGACAAGTCTATAATTTTGCCACTTTATAGATCATTGGTTCAACCTCATCTGGAGTACGCGGTCCAGTTTTGGTCACCAGTCCACAGAAAGGATGTCCTTGAGCTAGAAAGAATCCAGCGGAGGGCAATTAAACTAACTAGGGGAATGGAGGACCAGAGCTATGAGACGAGGCTACTAAATTTAAACATGTTCACGTTGGAAGTAAGGAGATTAAGGGGGGATATGATTTTCATGTACAGGATGTTCAATGGTGACAGAAACATTAGCAACAAACTCTTTACGATTAACTCCGTAACAAAAGACTAGGTGCCGCCACCTAACATTTTTGGGGAAAAAATTCCAGCACAAGGGGCGAAGGGGGTTATTCTCAGTTCGCGCGGTTAGGGTCTGGAACTCGTTGCCACAAGCAGTGATTTCAGCTAAGAGTGTGGAATCATCCAAGAAGCTTTTGGACGATTTCCTGAGAGACCGTAATATACATGGGTACAGGTATTAAGAACGAGATGATACATGGACCTATACGTATGCACACATCAGCCATAGGTTGGACTTGATGGACTTATGTCTTTATTCAACCTCAAATACTATGTAAAATAGAAAAAGAGATTGAGGACACAAGAGTCCTCAATCTCTTTTTCTGCAGCCCCTGTTATCAATGAACAGGAATCCTCTATACTGAGTGTTCCTGTTCATTCATAACATGAGGACAGACTACAACCACAATCATGAATGAACAGGAGGGGATGTAGATCACTTCCCATTCGTTCACAATTGAGGATATAGTAACCATACAAACACTCAGTGATCACTGATCACCGACTGCTTGTACCCGTTCTCCATCCAGACAGCTGTCACAGGAAGCTGAGCGAGCAGAGCAAGCTCGATCTGACAGCTGACTCCTCCCCCGCACGGACGGCCTCCTGTGACGGCGCTGGTGGTCTCCACCCACACACCGCTCTGCCGATCTGTGGCAGGAGGCTGAGCGGTGTGGGAGAGACGTTGGCCGCTCGCAGAGTTCTCCTCCCGCAGCGCTCAGCCGTCTGTGACAGTTTTTCTCCTCCCCGCTGGGACACAGAGCAGCACCCAGTGGGGAGGAGAGAATACACGGATGCACCGCTGTATTGGCCAGAAAATTTTACTTTCGGCCAACCTTTTGAGACTACTCAGGACCCAGAATCTATAAGCAAAGCAGAGGAATAAAACAAGGGATAAAATCAACAGCACACAGTATATACTTTCCAGAAACAAAAGGATCTTCAGGGCTGACTTACCAGAGTTGGATTCTCCACCACATAGTTGATGTCAGGCACATTCTGCTGGTCATCTTGCGGGTCAGCATCAATCTGCATGGGCTCCACAGCACCCTACATATGCAAAAGAGTCTTGTCAATCACTATAATCAAGATCAGCACCAAAAGTCCAGTGACCTGCAATCACACTCCACCAGCACACATAAAAACCTATCCCTTCCCTTCAAATAGCTGGGCAAGTGCCATTCACATAGCATTACTGCCGCTAGATGGGAGTCCAGGAGCATAGGCGTTCTAATTTCTGTATCTGCACATACCTCCTGAGATTCAATATGTCTGGACAGTATGGCAACCTACCGAGCTGCTGGTATCCAGAGGCAGGGTCCTACTCATCAAGAATTGCTATGCCTGATGAAGGGACCCTGTGTGGCCCCGAAAGCGCTTGTGTAACTGACATGAGTTTGCAATAAAATCTACGAACTTTGATCCTATAAGGATTTGGTGTGCTGGTGACGTTTCTGCAATTATCTACTCATCAAGAAGACTCGGAATAGAATCCAATGTGGTTTATTTAGGCTTGGCAACACAGAGGATGAGATTCTTTGTCATTACTTGGAGTGGAAAGACATTTCTTTCTAAAGCCTTGTAACACGTTAGTACACCCCTCCTAACACAGTGAGGGAGAGGGTGAGAAAAAAGGAAATGGGAAGGAGAGGCAGGGAATGTCTAACTAAGAGCTGTACCAATATACACAAAACAGTGGGAGTAAAATGTAGGGATGTACCAAGACACAAATGTATTAGAAACAAGAATAAAACAGACCGCTTGTGGCTTGGAAAACTCTATGCTCCTCAGCTCCATCCAGTGGCAGTAATGTCATGCGAATGGCTTCCGCCCAGTGTACAACCTTTGTAAATCAGCCCCTTAGAGACCCCCGCCATCTTGTCCATTCAGGTCAAAGTTACAGAGTCTGTGGAGAGCCCACCCTAACCCCTTAATAGTCACCTCTCCCCTGACACCACCATAATACACTATATTGCCAAAAGTATTGGGACGCCGGGCCTTTGCACGCACATGAACTCTAATGGCATCCCAGTCTTAGTCCGTAGGGTTCAATATTGAGTTGGCCCACCCTTTGCCGCTATAACAGCTGCAACTCTTCTAGGAAGGCGTCCACAAGGTTTAGGAGAGTGTCTATGGGAATCTTGGACGATGTGTGAGGTCAGGTACTGATGTTGGAGGAGAAGGCCGGGCTCGCAGTCTCCGCTCTAATTCATCCCAAAGGTGTTCTATCGGGTTGAGGTCAGGACTCTGTGCAGGCCAGTTAAGTTCCTCCACCCCAAACTCGCTCATCCATGTCTTTATGGACCTTGCTTTGTGCACTGGTGCGCAGTCATGTTGGAACAGGAAGGGGCCATCCCCAAACTCTTCCCACAAAGTTGGGAGCATGAAATTGTCCAAAATGCCTTTATGCTGATGCCGCGATATCGCACACATTTGCCGCGCGATATCGCGAGAAGTCGCTCGACCAATGATTTTCAATGGAGCTGTTCTATTCTACAGCTCCATGTCGCCTGTCATGCGTCGCTTGTGCAGGACCCTTTTTCCCGCGGATGTCACGCAAATTTTCTATTTTTGCAAGCAGCCCGACGGTGAAGGTCGCTGGAACGGTGCCCGAACAGTCGCGCTATCCCGGCCGCGCGGAAATCCGCTCAAGGTAAGTGTCGCTCAGTGTGAATGAGGCCTAAGAGTTCCCTTCATTGGAACTACGGGGCCAAGCCCAACCCCTGAAAAACAACCCCACACCATAGTCCCCCCTCCACCAAACGTTACACTTGGCACAATGGAGTCAGGCAAGTACTGTTCCCCTGGCAACCGCCAAACCCAGACACTTCCATCGGATTGCCAGACAGAGAAGCGTGATTGGTCACTCCAGAGAACACGTCTCCACTTCTCTAGAGTCTAGTGGCGGCGCGCTTTACACCACGGCATCCCACTCTTTGCATTGCACTTGGTGATGTAAGGCTTGGATGCAGCTGCTCGGCCATGGAAACCCATTCCATGAAGCTCTCTACGCACTGTTGTTGTGCCAATCTGAAGGCCACACGAAGTTTGGAGGTCTGTAGCTATTGACTCTGCAGACAGTTGGCGACTTCTGCGCACTGTGTGCTTCAGCATGCGCTGACGCCGCTCTGTCATTTTACGTGGCCTACCACTTTGTGGCTGAGTTGCTGTTGTTCCCAGTTGCTTCCACTTTGTTATAATACCACTAACAGGTGACCGCGGAATATTTAGGATCCAGGAAATGTCACGGATGGACTTATTGCACAGGTGACAACTTATCACTTTACCACGCTTGTAGTCACTGAGCTCCTGAGAGCGACCCATTCTTCCACAAATGTTTGTAGAAGCGTCTGCATGCCGAGGTGCTTCATTTTATACACCTGTGGCCATGGAGGTGATGGGAATACCTGAATCCAATGATTTGGGGGGGTGTCCCAAGACTTTTAGCAATATGGTGTATATGAAGTGTGCTCAAGCTGGAGCTCATAGGGAGCGGTGATGCCACCCTTATTGTCATGTAACAGCGCTCTGACATAGCAAGTGGCCACTAGGCCCAAGACCTTTATCATGTCAGGAGATCCAATGCTGCCCTGTAACTGGAAGCGCCATTTGCATAGCAACCACCATAGGAGAAGCCAGCTGCAGGGGAGTAATGGAGGGGCAAATATAAGATAGTCAGGGTAAGATTTCCAAAGGCACTGCCACTTTGCATCAAACGGGTAAGGTGACAGTGACCCTGTAAATCTCTACTTTCACTAAAATCAAACTGGTCAAAAATAGTTCCCTTTAAAAAAAAATAAGTAAATACTTTTGTCTCCAGCTCCCAGCGCAGACAAACATTGCTCTGATACAATGAAATGGTCCTCTGAAGTCTTCCAGAAATGTCCATTCCCAATGTCCCCTATTCTGGGCAGTGGTCCCTCCCACCAACCCCGACCAGTCCTGTAGTGACTAAGAGGTCAGAGGGAGAAACCACTGAGCACAGCGGGGGACACAGAAAATGGACACTGGAGGATAATAATTTATTTGAATCAGACACATTCAGCAGCACGGGCAGAAGTAGAAAGAAGAATTTGAAGGTGCCGCGAGGAAGTTCATTTTTTTTCACCCTCTGACGTGGAGAATGGCGCAGACTTGATTAGGTCAGCGCTGCTCTGTACATGACCGCATTATAAGTGCAGGGTGCCATGGTAACGAGGGGGGGGGGGGTCCATGACACTCTGAACTCACAGGATGTCCTCTGTCTTTTAGGTTGCATGGCGCATAGCATGCATTGCTGGAGCTCAGCAGGGGTAATTTTTTCGGCTGCCCGGAGTCGAGCTTTAAAAGGAGAACTATGGGGTCAGGGCTTTTCCCATAGTTCTCCTAAGGGTAACGGGAGGAAACAAACTAGCGTTCTCCCGTCACCTAAAGCTCAGTATACCACGAGGTACAGCTTGCGGTATACTGAGACGTTGCAGCCGGGACGGATCCCGACATTACTGTCTGGATACACCCAGCTGCGGGATTGACAGCTGGCTCTGCCTATCCAGAGGCAGAGCCAGCTGTGCCCGCCCCCGCCCGTTTCGCCAGTCAGCGCTGGAGGATCGGACAGGGGAGAGGGGGAATCCCTGCAGGGAGCCGTGAGTGACAGTCACGGCTCTCTGCAAGGATAGATCGAGAAGTGAACGAGCTACGGTATGTGTTCGCTCACTTCCCGATCTACTGAGCCGACCTGTGACAGTCTCATTGTCACAGGTTGGCTCAGATTATGAGGCTGAGTGAAAATCACTTGCCTCATAATTCTCCTTTACCAGAAGTTCACTTATTATAGGGATGGAGAATATAAGTCCCAGGGAAGCTGCAGCAAGTAAAACAGAACTGCAGATGGTCACGCCTGGAACCCATAGATGCAATATTTTACCTCCATTGCATTACAATCACGCAAGGTTTCAGGGCCCAGGACATTCCTATGTTCCTCGGCTCCATCTAGTGGCCATAATGCTCTTTAAAGTGCATGCAGGTCACGCAGAGGGGATTCTGGCAGAGTTACACTTTAACTTTATTCTGATGCATGGATAATATATCTCTGTGGATTTCTACTGGCAGACATCAGGGCGCCCACAAGAGCACAGCATGCCATGGCAATGTTGTACAATCTGGCACATCGGGAAGGCTCCCTCATTCACCAGCCTGCACATACAGGTCGCTACTAGAAACATGCTGCGAACTGCATCTTGCATCTATACATGACATGCGTTCCCTATGCTCCATGCTAAGAAGCAGCCAGCCCCTGAACCCAGGCCAACCCAACTAACCAGTAGCAGCAGCACCACCACCACACTGAGGGTCAACGCCCCG